TTAAATACTCAAAAAATAATTAATTGAGAATTAATTATTATTTAAATAATGTGATTATTTAAATTTGAATTTGAATTGTGAACATAATTTAAATTTATCCTTTTGAACTTATTTGATAAGTTGTTCAATTTAGAATTCAAATTAATTTAACTTTGACTTAAATTCGAATTTGAATTTGAATTAAAATTGGACTACAGGATAAAGGATGATTTCTCTTCCTTCCTTATCTATAATTGGCGCCACACACAGGGTAAAAACCCTAAGGGGTGGCCGGCCACTTAAGAGATAAGGAGATGATATTTTGTTGTTCGAAATTCAAATAGGAGATAGAGATTTGATTCCTTTTTTGAAGTTTGACTTCTACTCTTTAAATATGAGAATGATAGAAAATTGTGAACAAAATTTTTGAAACATTTTTTCTGCCCTAATAGAGAGGTGGCCGAATTTCTCAAAAGAAAAAGAAAAGGAAAATTTTTTCTCCCAAAAATTCCACATCGTGCATGCGTTGGTGTTTGTGGAAAAATTCGAGTGTTTATTCAAACCTATTTTGTCTCACGTGTGCCCACACACACGTCTACGTGGAATCAAGGAATTGATCTGGAAGACTTTGGTTTTCTAAACACGAAGATTGGAGCAAGGATTGTTCGTGGTCAAAGAACTCAAGTTATCATCCAAGTCGGTCGCCAGGTACTTGAACCGCCCATCACTGTCAAGCTCATAAGAAGTCACAGATCCTACAAAGAAAAAACAAAAAAAAACATTAAAATAACTATTTATACACAACACCAAAGTACAATAACTATTTATACATTCTAATATCTACAAAAAAGAAACATAAGGCACTGTTACTTGCTAAATAAAGGATTTACAAAACAAAAATAGAATTTAAAAATGTTCACCAACAAAAAAACGAAACTCACAAAAAATTAAAAATTAATTAAGTTATTATGCACAACCGGATATGTTATGCAAAAAAAAATGTCAATTATGAATCATAACCTATCAAGTTATGCTCCATAACTGGACAAATTATAAGAAAACCCTGTTAACTTATCCAATAACCAGACAAGTTATAGACTATAACCTATCAAGTTATGGGAAATAACATGTCAAATTATACCATAACTTGTCAAGTTAACGCGAATAACCTGGATTTTTCTCCTTCAAAACATTAAGATAAACAAAAGCATAAGCATAACACATAAAAATAAAATCACCTGAATTTTTCTCCTTGAAAATATTACACAGAAATGGAATGGATGCATACGACTCCACTGCACTTCCTCTCATTGATGCTAACGTGTATCGGTGAGCCATTCGTCCTTTGTAGTAACTAATGTCGACACCATGCTTACCATGCATTATAGACTTGAAATCATTAGGATGCAAACAGTCCGCAAGCCCAATGCTAAAATCACCCTTTAAAAACTCCGAAACAACACGACTATTTGCTTGACGATGCTCAGCACTAACAACATCAAGTGAAGAAGTATGTTCCTTAACATACTTCTTCACTGCCCAAACATTACCATTTGAAACCTTAGCAGCGCGCATCTTCCAAGTACAATTCTTATTCTTACAAACCAAAACAAAAAATGAATGATTAGATCTTCTAGATTTAAACTCAAAATGCCTCCTAATAGCAATTACATGTATGAGTTTCTTGAGAAATGGCTTGCTTATGAATTGATTACCTACATTCACATCAAACGACATAGGCAACTTTGAAATATCCAAATCTTCAATCAAAATATTATTCATCGCAACATCAATATCATCTTCAAATTGACAAACGGAACCATCAACATTAGAAGAAGACGCATCATCTCTTGAACTCATAAAACAAGATGAAGAAGAAGTAGATCCCGCTGCACTAACGGAGCTACTAACAAAATCTATTACCAAAGAGTATCCAAGAGCTTCCTTACTGTGTCGAACCAAGTTTAAAAACAACTTAACATCATCATCCCTCTTTAGCTCCGAAACCATTTCAATTGGGTCCTTCAACTTCCTTCCCACAAAAAGTAATAAAGAATGAACACCAGCATTAAAACTAATCAAATCAAGATGCATCTCTTCACATAAACACTCCTGTAAAAACTTCAAAGAAGCATCTTCCGGAATAAAAACTTATTGAAAATCAAAATTTGTATATTGGTTTTCTAGACTCCATTTTCTCCTATAAGCAACAATGACTGAAACAGATTGCATGCCTACAAACATATTGCAGGAACACTGTCAGGTTAAAGTGCATAACCAGACAAGTTATGTAAAAAACCTGTCAATTGTGGACCATAACTCGTCAAGTTATGGTCCATAACTGGACAAGTTATAAAAAAAAAATTGTCAATAACTGAAACAGATTGTATGCCTACAAAAATCATTAAATTACAAGAGCTATATTCAATCCTAAAAGTATTAAAAAACCAAAATAATGCAAAATGTGAAAACGCAATTACAAAAAAAAAAAACAAAAAAAAAAAACTAGAAACGAAGAATGCACAAACCTGTTGTTCGGAAAAAATCACTGGAACAGCTACTCAAAGATGACCGGAGAAGAGCAAATCCAACGAGAAAAAGAACAACCGACCGACAACAAATTGATCCACCGATGATCCACCGAAGATCCACCAACGAGAGAGCAAATCCGAGCGCACTTACAGAGGATTCGCGCCAGTAAAGATCTACGTGAAGCTAGAGATAGAGATAGAGAGAGAGAGAGAGAGAGAGAGAGAGCTGCGGGTATAGTTAAGAGAGACAGTGACAGAGAAGATTGAAAGAAAAAGGAAAAAAAAGTAAATTTGGAAATTCAAAAATTATGACCTATTAAATTTTATAACTAAAAATTGGCCTATATACTTTCTTAAGCTTTTCATATTGACATATTATCTACCATTTCCCTTAATTCTTCGACAAAGAATGAGAATGAAATAAAAGACTTAAATAAAAAATAAAAAAAACAAAAGTCCTTAAAGTACTATTAGTTCCTAAAAATTTAACAGTGAATTGTTTTTTTATAATTTTATTTTATTGTGCGATTGGTTGGTTGGTTTATATTTATTTATTACCAATATGGGTCTGTTGATATGAACGTGTATAATAATATTTCACATAATGTTTCTCATGTTATTACTCATATGTTTGTGTAATCTTTCATTTGGTAAGAGGGATGGAGAGCAAGAATTAGAAAGAGAGTGGGAAGGATGGAGAGATTATAGTAATCTTTTATGTTATTTGATAATATGAAAGAAGAGTTGAAATAACGAATTATAGTTATTTGTACAATTACTATTATGTTCATTTTATCATTTGTTAATAATTTCTTTTGAAAGAAAATAGTTTTTTTTTATTTAAATTTGGACAGGATTCAAATAATTTTTGTTTAAAAGATAAAATAGTTTTTTTATTTAAAATAGTTTTCCTTCTATTAATGGATGGATCTACAATGTCGGGCTCAAAGGGAGACTCTTTCTCCCTCCATATCTACTCTCTCCTACCCTTCCTCTAATTAAAAAATAGATTCACCATCTCTCTCTAATACTCTCCCTCCTACCAAATATAGTGTTGGGCTAGTTATTAGCTACCGTGACATTTTACCGATCACCAAAAGTTATAATATGAATACCCCTTTATCCATCTCCTATCCATAACCTTGTAAGTATGATTTATAATTTCAATTCACTATTCTCTCTCACTAAATTTTATCAACTTTCATGCTTTCTCACCCTCACTTACTAGAAATTATTTTATTCAAAATATCTTAAATATTTGAAGTTAATTTGTTAAACTACCAAAGAACTTACATCCATGATCCATCATCCAAAAAAAAAAAAAAAGAGAAAAAAAAAACAACCGTAACATATGTTATATGAAAACACCTTGACATATGTTTTAGTATCCCTATGATACGAGATTTGGTAAATATCTACGAATAATTAATTATAGGCCTCGTTTGGTATGCTGTTAAAATTGTGTGATTATTTGAATTGTGGTGATTTTTATTGCTATTCGAACCGTGTTTAGATACGTAAATAAATTGTATTTTGAATTGAAAATAAAATTCAAACTATGTTTGGATAAGTGTTGAAAACTGTCATTAGAGTTTTGTAACAAATCTGATAGAATCTCATTGTAAATAACATTAAAAATGCAATATAAATGAGAGTTTATTCGTCTCTTCATTATGAACACACTAAAAAACTCATCTCAATCAAAATTGAAACGAAAAAACTACTACATGTTTAAGCTTAAAATTGAAGAGAAAAAAATAAGATTTAAATTGCTTTCATTTTAGAAAACAATTCAGATTATTAAAATTTAAGTAGAGGTAAATTTTAAAATCAAGGCTTTAAACCAATATCATTGATTTGATTAGTCGTTCTCATTTACTTCTTTATTAAACATCAATTTGGATTCTAAACTTTAGTTTGAATTCAATGATTGGGTTTGAGTTTTTAAAACAAAATGGGATATAAATGTTTGGTCATCTGGGACCCACATGCTCCACATGACCCAAAACGGGGTTTATAAAACAAAACGGGGTAATAAATATGACATTTTCTTTTCACTTTTTCTTCTCTTCTACCAAACAACATGAAAGAAAATCATTTTATTTACCTAGGTATTTAACTTCTCTTTCCTTCCTCTTTTCTATCCGTCCTACCAAACATAGCTTTAGGGACTACTATTCGTGATAGCTACACGGTTGATTATCGTTATAATTTCATGAAGTATTAAAAAAAACACAAGGTGTATGCATCGTTACAGAGACAAACTAGCGAGATTAGCACGAAGGCCAGACTCTGAAAACCCTAGTGAAACCTCATCCAACTCATCTTCTACTCCTTCGGAACCGTACTTCAAAACCTATTTGCGATGGGTCAACATGAGGATGTTGACCAGAGGATGTTGAGAGATTATTTGCACTTGACGCGTACATCCACCCTATCATGCATCATGTTCCCACCAAAACAAGAAATTAAGCTAGAAAGTAAACCAAAGACGTCAGAAAGATTGCACCACTTCCCATACGATTGGGAACACATCAAAAGCATATAAAACTTTTACAGCCGAAACAATTGTTTAAATGAAAAAAATAACCCAAAACATTTCACTAACAATTTCCGACCACAACTTCCTCCTATCCCCCTTCCTTGATCATAATTTCACTACCATTTCAAAATGACAACAAAAGGATCGATAGTTGTTAGAGCCGTCAAAATTGGATTTAGTATAAATAAGATAAGATTCCTTGCAACCGTCAAAGTTGGAACTCTAAGATTTCTTCAAGCATATGCAGCTGTTGGAGCTTGGAGAATGCTAATTGAGTTCATTTGATGGCTTCAGGAACCATTGGTTCAGTCTTTCTGATGCCTTGTTCACCTACATATTTGTTTTAAAAACACCGTAAATAAGTATTTTATAAACCGTCACGTTACTTTTCAAAAGGAATTATAGGCTTTATTAAACTAATAATAATAATTATAGACACAATTATGATTATTAGTAATTACTGTAATAATTAAGGGCCCGTTTAATTCGCTGATTTGAGTTTTTAATTCGAGTTGATATGTGATTTTATGTGAGAGCTTTTTACTGTAGTAAAAAAGTTAGATGTGACTATTTCTGAGAGTTTTTTACTGTAATAAAACTCAAATTCTAAACTCGAATCGGTGAAATCAAGTCTAGCCTGACAGTGTTGGAATATTTTTATGTGGACTTCCATAATCATAATAATTCCTCTATTATGAAATAAAACATATTAATATTGTGGATAACTTTGTTAATGTAAATAGTTTATGCATGTATGTCAAATACCGATCCATATGTGATGTACACTCTATTTATTGACTAGCTTCAGGCATATAGACTCATTCTTTCATAAATACTTTGGTCAACCCATTGGGCCAAAGAACTTCTCTAGCATATTAATATAAACTCAATAGGCCCAAAACTAATTAAGCTCGTTATGTTTTTAAATTAAACACTTTATATATACGTGCTATGTTAGGGACTCTGTATTTGTGTGAGGTATGTGGCCATTTTGTGTGGTGCATTATGTGTGTGGGGGAGAGGCTAAAGAAGAGGAGAGTTCCATTACTCTCAAGCTCGTTCTACCGGTGACTTTCAACAACTTAACGGTGATGCCAACGCTTCAGACAGGAAACCCGCAAATCTATTATTTCTAATATGTCTTAGACACTAAATAGGGATATTAATTTTTTAATCAGAGAGGAAAAAAAAGAGTCAAAATCAGTGTTATCTTTTAAATATTTTTTTAATGCTATAAAAATAATTGTCTCTATGCGTATACCACATCTTTTAGTGTGAAATGTAACTTATCTCTTATTTATTCACATACCTGACCTTCCCAATCCGTTTTCCAGGTGATATACAACAGTACAAGCGATTGCGTTAACACTCCACACAACATTCCAATCCACAATCCCTACAAAGTAACATGGAAAGCAATATAGAGTTAAAACAAAATGTCTTCTGCTAGATAATGAGTTTTATTGCTGTATAAGCAGACATGAAAATTTCTTATTACCTTAACTTCGAGATGAGCCACATAAGCAAGCACAACTCCTAAGGGTATCCCAATCACATAATAGCAGCAAATGTTTACAATTGCAACCGTGCCTTGTAAGCCAGCACCTACAGCAACACCTGCAGAAAAGATAGCAACAATCTCCATATTCAGAGTAGTAATTAACAAGATCATTCTAGAATGAAAAAAAAAAAAAAAAATCATTATTTAGTATTCTGAGGATAAATGTATAAAATTATCTAAAAAGAAGTAACCACAAACATGATCCAGTGGCGGAGTTTTAGGGCACGAATTAAACTAAAACTTCAAACAAAAAGAATACTAATGCAACTATTTTAATCGGGTTTAATTCATTTTTTAAAGGTCACGGTTCATATAATTATGAATTATGAATTTATACAATAGCGTGCATGGTTGAGTTTTGATTCATTTGATATTTGACATTTGAAATAGAAGTTTTCCAAAAGTCAAAATTGGGTTGTAACCGAAACTTTTATTTAATTTATTGTTTTAAAGACCTTCATATATTCAGTGACTAACAAGATAAATATTATATAAAAAGTTCATTGTTCGCTAGTGTTTTGAGGCTAAATAAATAAAATTATCTAAAAGAATTAATTAACAACAGACTTCTTTATGGCAAGAATTTGTTTTCTTAGTAAAATTAACCAACATTTTTAGAACATGACAACTGACAAGTAATTTTGCACTCTCTAATCAGTAAAATACATTTTTATAATTAAATTGTTTCAATCACATTAAGTAATAGAAGAATAACAGATCTTAATTAAATTGTTTCAATCACATTAACTAATAGAAGAATGACAGGTCCCATATAAGATTTTTTGTTTTTTGTAGTAAGAAGTTACATATAAGTTCAACACATTAGTTGATATTAAAAAAATGGGAGTGACAGCATGAGTCCTAAAGTTGGGGTCATCTTCTAGTAATTGTGCTGACGATAGACAATAGTCTTACGAACCCCAGGCATTTTTCTTTAACATCATGAAAGTATTACATATAATATATATATATATATATAAATATATAAAACAAAGTTCCACCGACACAAACTCTGAAGCGGGATCAAAGGTAACCAATATATATATATATATATATATATATGCATGAATCATGACCAAACATCTTTATGATAAAACATCATTGTTAGAAACCTATCCTCTTAATTAAAATTTTTAGCCCCTACAAACTTTTAAAGAAATATTAGTACCTGAAAGAACCGGATAGATGCTGTTTAATAAGATGGAGAAAGCAAGCAAGACAGATAGATCTGACACAGCATCTGCGACTTCCTCCTCATTAGTGAATAGGTAGGAAATTTTACGACCAAATATCAAACACAAAATCCAAAAGAACACTCCAATCGCAATTGAAGTACTGAGGATAACTTTCATGGCAAACTTTGCAGCTTTAGCATTTCCTCTTCCCAATTCGTTTGATACTCGTACACTATAACACATAAAAGATAGTAGAAATAAATAGGTGCCAACTTTCATATATATAAATATATATATATATTTATGATAAATAATGTTAAAAAAACCAACTCAAATTCTCTTGTATTAATTTATTACTTTTCATTCTTTTATTAGTAGATGATTAAAAGATTGTTATATTAATTAAGGATAAAATAATTTTAGTGTCATGTATTATAAGTTTGTTGAAGAGTGCTTAGATTTCGATTTTAAGTTTGTTGATTTGAGTTTCATTTTGTTTGTTTTGAACATTTGATCTGGTTTATTTTATCTTTCCTTTATTTCATTAGACCTTTTTATTTTTATTTTTTGGTTCCGACTTATTAGAAATTGTATTGGTAGACAATGCAGTTCCTATGAAATCTTACTTCAATATCAATTGGTTTGTAAGTTTTTGACGAAGCAGGGGAGGAAGGAGTTCTTCCTTCTTTTATGTTTTTAAATATTTTCAGAACGTTCTTTTTTAACTTAATTCTAGAGTAAATTAATTAAAAAGGTATAAAAGACATTTTATGTCTCAAAAAACAGACTTAAAGTACTTAAAAGGTGTTTTTTTTAAACACAAATGTATCATTTTAATATTATTAAAAACAACATGGTGGTAAAAACATGTTTTGCTATAATACATGGCACTAAAATGATTTTATCTCTATTAATTAATATTAAGAGATTGCAATTACCAATATGTAGTTTAATCATACTAATGTGATATATAGCTTTTCAATGTTAACTTTGTCCTCATCGTAATGGTTTTAATATTGGGTGTGACTAAAATTTACCAGTGAAAGAGTGCATGTATTAATATTACATTACATACCATGCAGCTGCTAGAAACCCAAGGCATACCATAAACTCCCATGCACAGATATTGAGACTGCAAAAGAAATATATGGGTTAAAGTACTTTGAATTTCTATATTATTATAGTTTCAACATGATGATACAACGGAAGACTTAAGGAATGTTACCAGATAGAGAAAGCAGAGATAGCAACTGTTGCATTTTCCATGTATCCTGCTAAAAGTACCAGAATAGAGTTGTACCATAACTCTAAACTGTTATTGGCCAAAATAAAAAAGTTAGCAGGCTTGTAATATTTCAAGATCAGAGACACTCATTCTTTTTTTTTTTTTTAAGGAAGCTCTGAAATAGTGAGAAATCTCTCTTTTATATATATATACACACACACACTTATTTTCAATAGTTATGTTACTATTAAATATATAAATTTAATGATATGGCGTGATAAGAATTCAGTTTTATTAATTGCATTAATTTTTTTATCAACTATTTAATTTATTACAACTGTCAGATCAATATCTTACAACTAAAATAACAATACCCATTAATGAGTAAATATTCGAGTAACTATTAAAACTACACCCATAGTGTGGTTTTAATGGTATTTTTAATATTCACCCATCAATGTGTATTATTATTTTAGCCACAAGATATTAATCCGACGATTATAATAAATTGAATAGTTGCCAAAAAATTTAATGATAATTTATAAAATTAGATTTTTATCACATCATGTCATTAAATTTCTATATTTAGAGTTGACTACTAATGAAAACGTAATTATTAAAAACTGGTCCATATATATTAGAACTCCAAGGCCGAATTAAAGGGGCCGACCCAAAGTTTACACGATTGGCCCAATCCTGGCCCGCTTAAGTGTTTGGGCTGGGCCGAGACTAAGTTTTAAGGCCGAAACTTCGGGCCGGCTTACATACTTTCTAAAGTGTGTCTTAAAAATATCTTGTAAATTTTGGGCATCCTATGAAAATAATAGGTCAGACAATCAGGCCCGGGCCTTGCATCAATTTTCACCTTAAGAAGCTACATTTTGGATTTTTCCAATCGAGTTAGATTAGAAAAAGGACATGGAAAGGAGAATAAAAGAAAGTTTAAAGCACTTACCACACCATAACACCAGAAGATATGGATAGCTTAATAACAGGCCACATATCAGCAAAAGCAGCAAGAGTGAATCCCTTCCACGTATTGGGACACCAACCTCCGAAGATATACACAAACATTCCAATCACTGCCGACCAGCTGGAGATGTTCATAGCCGCCAGAGCGCCCGCAATCCCCCACTCGAGCTTGTATACGAAAATCCAAGAGAGCACCACATGGAACACGAACGATGTCGCCGATAGCCACCCTACAACCAGGTTCTTGAGCTGGGCCTGCAGGTACATCTGGATGGTGAGGCTGAAGACGAAGTTGTACAAAAAGGGTATGCACCAGAGGGAGATTTTCCCGGCCACGGCCGCAATGTCTGCTTGTTCGCCAAGCAGATTCAAGAGGGGCGTGGTGAAGAAGAAAAGAGGGAGCATTATCGTCGCAGTGATGAAGTCGACGATCCACGAACGCTGCAAATATATTCCCATCATGTGGTATTGTTTTGCGCCAAACGCTTGCCCACAGAGAGTCTCCGTTGCGCTTGACATGCCAAGCTGTTCGTAGTCATCAAGAGAAGGGAAGAGAATTTAGTTAGATCATGATATGTAAGAGCAAAATATTTTTTATTATTAAGCGGGGCTATTATCATATCCAAAAAGGACTATGAATTAATACCGTAAAATTTAAACCTATGTCTAATTAAACTATGAATTAACAACTACATACGTGATTATTTAATTTTTTGGACTCCGAATACCTAAATATTTCATCATATTTAGTTCAAATCCTTGAGATTGTGGACAAGTTCTGATGATACGTGCGTGTAAATATAAGGAAAGAAAATGTTGAAATGCAGAGGAATGAAAAACATTAAACCAAGAGAGCATTTTCTGGTAACAATGTACGTTTCAACAGAGTCATCTAGTGGGTGACTTCCAGACAGTTCAAAAGAGTCAACTCGTTGAGGGCTACTGGTTATCGCTGTTACTCACTATGTGACAGTGGATGTTGATCTAGGCTTATTACAAAATTATTTATTTCTAAAACAAAATTACATATTTAGAATTATTTATTTCTAATAAATTTTATAAATTTTGGTAGGTACCATCTTTGCAGTTGTTGTTGTTAATATACCATCTTTGCAGTTTCGAAAATGTTAAAATTACTAAGCGAACTGAAAATTTAGTTTGTTAAAATAACAAATAAAAAAAAAACCAAACCCAACGCATAAACAAATAGTAAGAGTTTGAAAAGCTAGGTGTAAATGCCGTGCTATAACTTTTACATGTAAACAATTATGTTAAAAAATTTTTGTGACTCAGATTTATTCACATTTTTTTCCCCTTGAACAGTCCATTTGTGCGGTAAAAATCTAATATTTATAGCATAAATCCGAAGAAAAGGTTTTTTTCTTTTGTAATATTCGTCAAAATTTCTCTACATGTGAGTTGGGTAAACCTGGAAGTCATGTTACCGAACCCCTACACTCTATTTAACTTCTTTTTAATTATTGGGCGCATTTAAAATTCATTTTAAAATAATTTTATTTTTTGTATGAAAATGAAAATAAAAACGTTTTTAATCTTAAAAATTATTTTTAAAAATGTCTTTGGTAGTTTTATCAAAAGATTATTTTCAGTATAAAAAACCCATTAATGTTTCTCTTTCTCGAGCAGAGAGGAGAAAATGAAAACAAAAAATAAAAAACGACTAAAAGTCATTTTTCATTTCTCTCTCATTTTACACTAAACAAAAAAATCATTTTCATTTTTATTTTTTATCTTTATTGCGCCAAACGCCGTTTTAAAAATGCTTTCATTTTTTCTTTCTAAAAAAACGTGAAAATAAAGACGAGATCAATTCTAAACACGGTTATTGTTTTTTATATTTGTGTTGGGACGCGGCCCTTATCAACTCTACTTGCATTATTATAGGCATGTTTTTTTTTTCAAACTTGAGTTAAGAATTTAGTATGCGAGAGAAAATACTATAATAAAAAAGTTATATTTAAAGTTTTATAAGAAAAAATATTGTAATTAAAAAATTTAAACTGTGATTTGAGTTTATTTAAAAAACACGTCCTATATACATACATATATATATGTATAGACACACTCTACCTCCGCATTAATTCTTGACAAAATAAGCTCCAGCTAGCACAATAAAACACAGCGCGTACGGTTTAGCCAAAAAAAAAAAAAAAAAACAGCGCGTACGCGAATGGTGGATTAATCCATCCCGTGCCTTGTAAGTTGTGGACCCAAATGCAATTACTTCTTCGATAAAGAATGAAAATGAAATAAAAGACTTAAATAAAAAATAAAAAAAACAAAAGTCTTTAAAGTACTATTAGTTCCTAAAAATTTAACAGTGAATTGTTTTTTCTATAATTTTATATTATTGTGCGGTTGGTTGGTTGGTTGGTTTATATTTATTTATTATGAATCTGGGTCCGTTGATATGAACGTGTATAATAATGTTTCACATAATGTTTCTCATGTTAGTGTTCATATGTTTGTGTAATCTTTCATTTGGTAAGGGGGATGGAGAACAAGAATTAGAAGGAGAGAGTTTGATGATAAAGGAAAGTGGAAATGATGGAAAGATTATAATAATCTTTTATGTTGTTTAATAAGATGAAAAAAAAGTTAAAATAACGAATGATAGTTATTTGTATAATTATTATTATGTTCATTTTATCATTTGTTAATAATTTCTTTTGAAAGATAAAATAGTTTTTTATTTAAATTTGGGTAGGATTCAAATAATTTTTTTTTTAAAAATAAAATAGTTTTTTTATTTAAATTTAAATGAATTAGTTGAATCCTTTTATTAATGAATGGATCTAAAATGACGGGCTCAAAAGGGAAACTCTCTCTCCCTCCATATCTACTCTCTCCTACCCTCCCTCTAATTAAAAAATAAATTCACTATCTCTCTCCAATACTCTCCCTCCTACCAAATATAACGTTGGGCTAGTTATTAGCTACCGTGGCATTTTACCGTTCACCAAAAGTTATAATATGAATACCCTCTTTATTCATCTCCTATCCATAACCTTGTAACTATGATTTATAATTTCAATTGACTATTCTCTCTCACTAAATTTTATCAACTCTCATGCTTTCTCACCCTCACTTACTAGAAATTATTTTATTCAAAATATCTAAAATATTTGAAGTTAATTTGGTAAACTACCAAAGAACTTACATCCATCATCCATCATCCAAAAAAAAAAAACAAGAAAGAAAAAAAGAAAAAAAGAGAGAAACGAAAAACAAAAAACCGTAACATATGTTATATGAAAACACCTTGACATATGTTCTAGTATTAATCCCTATAATACGAGATTTGGTAAATATCTACAAATAATTAATTATAGGCCTCGTTTGGTACGTCGTTAGGATTGTGTGATTTGGTTCAAATTATGATTATTTAAATTGTGGTGATTTTTATTGCGATTCGAATCGCTGTTTAGATACGCACATAAATTGTATCTTGAATTGAAAATAAAATTCGAACTATGTTTGGATAAATATTGAAAACTGTTATTAGAGTTTTGTAACAAATCTTATAGAATCTCATTGAAAATGACATTAAAAAATACAATATAGATGAGAGTTTATTCGTCTTTTTATTATAAACATATTAAAAAAAATTATCTCAATCAAAATTGAAACGAAAAAACTACAACATTTTTAAACTTAAAATTAAAGAAAGAGAAAAAATAAAATTTAAAATGTTTTCATTTTAAAAAACAATTCAGATTATTAAAATTTAAGTAGAGGTAAATTTTAAAATCAAGGCTTTAAACCAATATCATTGATTGGATTAGTTGTTCTCATTTACTTCTTTATTAAACTTTAGTTTGAATTCTAAACTTTAGTTTGAATTCAATGATTGGGTTTGAGTTTTTGAAACAAAACGGTGTTAAAAATGTTTGGTCATCTGGGACCCACATGCTCCATCCCCCTCTGGATCCTTCTAACGTTGAAGGATTAATATGAGATGTCAATTATCACCACTATCTCGTTTGCAAAGAAAATGATGCGCATCGTCACTGCAATGCTTAAAAAAAATATATTGATTTGTTACACTTTAGGCAGTGTCTACCCTTTTTCCGGTTAAAGAGGATGTTCATCATCGTACAGCTGTAAAAAGCCGAAAAAACAAAAAAACAAAAAAAAAAAAGAGGCAACTTCACAACTCAAATTTTTATTTTATTTTTTTAAAATTCAAGCCACCGCAAATCCAAAATTAATCACAACCCAAAGATTCATATTACGGACGATATTCATATGAATGTTTTTTATTTGTTTTAAACCAATTTTTTTTTTTTTTTAATTTACGGTACTAAAATTTGATTCAAGATGTTGGATATAGAATGGATAAAGGCTTAAGAAAAAAAATGACTCCACAACTACGGGGAAAAAACTTCAGAAAGAGTGAACAAGCCACAATAATCCAAAATTAATAACTGAACATATATATATATATATATATAACTTCTTTTGAATCTAACTTTTTATTTTTATTTTTATTTTTTATGGTGAATTAAAAAAGAATAGTAAAATAATATGATGGGAGGAGTTGGGTATAGTGAGTGCTTACTAGAATGCCATTGACGAAGCGAATGAGAATGCTTTGGATAAGAGCAAAAGCAGCGAGGTCTAACTCACTGACATGCCCAAGAAACGACTGAGTCACAACCATAACTCCAAATGAAGTCACTCTCGCCAAAATTGAAGGAAAGGCTATTCTCCACATCAGCTTCATTTCCGTCCAAACTCTCCTTTTCAGATCCGATCCCTCATCATCACCATCTGTATTTTCCACTGCTCCATTCAAAAGCCTCTCTGCCATTTCACTTTTCATCTTTATAAATATGCTTGCCTTTCTCACCTCTTCAAAGAACAACAAAATTCGTGTTAATCATCAGAGAAAATGCAAGCTTCTATATATAGCGCGAAACCCACTTCTAACTAGCACTACATATTTCAACATACATATTTATTTTGAAAAAAATGGAGAAACAAGAGATCAGTTTTTATTATGTTTCTTTCTATATTCTTTCTGGCTCCCTCTAAAATTTATACAGGTAAACACACAGAAACCCACACTTATATAATATACAGAAACATATATAGAGAAGTGGAGAAGAGACAGATTTTATTTACCTTTTTTTTTTTGGCAGGAAGAGAAAATAAGCTAACCCAGAAAGAGTAGGTTGAAGAAGGATTCAGTCTTCACACTGCTCCTAAAATAGAGCTTCGTGGCTGCTAGTTATTTAATTATAAAAGCACAGAAGTAAAACGTGTACTTTGTAAAAATGAAGGGGAAAAAAAAGAAAAGAATAGTGGATATTCGTCTTCCCTTGTGTTTTTTGTGACTAATAGTGAAAGAATCGGGCACCAACTACAAAGAAATAATTATTGATCTACTTTTTTAAATTTTTTTATTTTATGAATTTGTGTGTGAAAACAGGACACGATGAGACAATGAGGACCACGTTATCCTCGTCGCAACCCCAACCCCCGTAGAAAAGCTGCGTTAATTATTATGACATCATTTAACTTCGTGAATTTAAATTTTTAATTTAAGTTCAGATGTAATATTTTTTAAAAATTTTTAATTATAAAATTAAAAATTTAAATCAGTGAAATGAACAAAATTTATGACTCTGTTTATTTTATCGATTCAAATTTAAAATTTAAATTTTATTAAATAAAAAACTCTAAAAATAATTATATTTAATTTTTTTTATTATAATAAAAAAATTATTATATAAAATTCTTTTTATTTATTATTGAAGTGCACGTGAGGCCTGAAGGCTGTAATGAGCGTTGAACGTGAGATTACTGAGAGGAAAGTTGGATTGGGAGCAGGTAGGTTTGTTGTGTGGGGATAAAGCAATATCGTCATCATTGTACGTAATGCATTTCATTAATGGAGATAAAGAATTGTTTGTATTGTAATTGGATTTCATTAGCAACTATAATTTATATAGTTTCGTTTATTTTATTAATTTAAATTTAAATTTTAAATTTTATTATAATAAAATTTTTTTAAAAATAATCATATTTAAATTTTTTACTATAATAAAAAATTTTCATATAAAATCACATTTTAACTCGAATTAAAAATTTAAATTAATTAATTAAACGGACACTATATCTATATCTATCTATTTATGAATATTATCCTTATTTGACATTTTTTTCCTTTTTTCCGTTTTTATTTTTAACTTTTATTTTTTTTTCTTTTCTTTTCTTTGTTTTTGTTTTTTTTTTTCCTATTTACTTTTTGGTTATTTCTCAAGTGCTTAGTCCCTCTTAAGCTTTTTAACTTTTTATAACATGCGTTTTTTTTTTTAATACTTTTTTCTCTTAATTTATTCATGTTAAAATAATTTCATTTAAATGTTAATTTTTTTCTTAAAAGCTCTTCTATAACTTAATTCTCTTTCTTATCTCTAATCTGTAGAGGAGGCAAGGAAATCTTTTCTTTCGAAGGAGGCCATATGTTGCCCTCTTTTTTTTTTCTTTTTTTTTTTTTTGGCTTTTTGGGGGTTTTTTTTTCTATTTGCTTTCTGCTTTTTTCTCAAGTGATCTATGCTCTTAAGCATTTTAACTTTTTTATAACATTTTTTTTATAAATAATTGTTTCCCTTAATTTATTTATTTATTCTTTTTTTAAAAAGCTCCTCTATAGCTTAATTTGTTTTTCTACCTGTTATCATCTAACATCTAATATCTAACATATATATATAAAAAGAGCCGAATCCGTTTTTAGACTTCGCTCTTAAGGAGACCACGTATCTACATCATTCTTCTTCTTCTTTGTTTAACTTTTCCTCTTTTCATCCTTTTAATTTTTTAATTTTTCTTCTTTTCTTTTGTCTTTTTTGTTTTTCCTCTAATATTCTTTTTAAATATGTCCTGCTTAAGGTTTTTTTCTTTCCTTTTTTTTATTTTATAAAAAGCTTCTATGCAACTTTTTATTTTTTTAACTTTTTCTCTCTTTTTTTTTTCTCTCTTTTTTCATTTTTTTTATTTTTCCTATTGTGTTATTGTTTTTTCTCCTAATAATCTTTACATCTGCCATCAATTTCACATCATTCTCAATGAGTATAATGTCAGGAATGGTGTCTTAAAAACATGAGATCTAATATGATATTTATTATTTATTTAATAAAATAGTTTATTCATTATTTTTTGTGCATATATTAATAAATATTTTATGAATATCAGTGAAAATTTCATGATTATTTATGTGACCTTAAATATTCTATATAAGTGTTTTATGCAAGATGATAATATTTAAGGATAATAATCAAAACGATGTTCGTAATGAATTTAGTTAAAGTTTAGAATCTTTAATTGAAACATTACTAATACATGACATTTCCATTTAGAATGGAACAATATTATACGAACTGTTAATATGGTGAGATACTGAATGAGTGTATTACGCATAATGAGATAATGTGGAACATGGACACAGATGCAATATGAATTTCTGATAATTTCCGTTAAGTATAGAAATTCTAATTGAGTCTACCAATGGTCATATATAGAATGATCTTAATCATGAGTTTTTAGCAGAAACCCATTTATGGATTTGTATCTTTTGATTTACTCAGTACGGATTCTGAGATCTTGAGTCTTATTCCTTGTATTTTGGAGACATGATCAAGTGAGTAGCCGGGAATGTTATTACACGAGATAGAATTCATTCATTCTTTAGAAAGAAGTAGATAAATAATTCTCTTGAGGGTTGATTCGGCACTTGGACTAGTAGGAGCGCACTGACTCATGAATTTATTTTATGAATCACTGTCCATTAGAGAATCAATGGTACTCAAGGATTAAGATGTAATTAGAGAAGTTAACGAATTTCACTAGCTCTAATTATGAATTATTTATGGAGGATTGATCTATATGCAATGACTATATCAAATGAACACTTCACAGTTTAGAAGTAATTTATGTCTATAATTACGATAGTGCAATTCCAAATTTATAGTGGAGTAACTTTTGAAACTAATAGAATTAATTAATTAATTAAAGAGTTTAGTTAATTATTAATTTTATTAGAGCTCGGAATTATAGGTCCGTGAGTCCCCACGTCGTCCTTATAATTCTACAAGATGCTAAGGGCAAAATAGAAAATTTAAATTATGGAATTCTAAAATAAAACGCTCAAGGATAATTGTAACACCCGCCTTATACAACTCTAAGTTAATTACATAGTCATATTATGTAGTGTTACTTCTAATCTTTTCCCTTATGTTGATTTTTAGTAAGTTACATGACTTAGGTATTAAAATATAGGTAAATTTAAACTTTTTGAAATCACCTCAAGAGCAATACTATTTTTGACATGTCTCATCGGGTTCTCTTGGCTGGCAAAATATATATACAATATAATACATATCTCAAAACATGCACAACCAAGTAATAACACAACCACACTACTTCTCAGCTAATGCTGGGAACTGCCCTCATCTGAATCACCACAAAATGAATGAGTTACAGCCCAGTAAGTAGAACAATGCATAACAATATAATAATAGTAATATGCATGAGCTCATGTCTTAAAATTTTCATTTAATGTTATTCAATTCACTTTCCTTCACACTTTTATCATGTGTGCATTTTTAGGGTTTTATAGATGGGTGGTGTCCAGACACCTCATCAGACCTTGCAACCACAAAGTAAATATATATGCATATATCAAATGCCGTTGTGTGGGGCAATTCACAATATCAATCTTCACTTCTTCCTTGTGATTATCAAGAAAGCATCCCACACCGCAAGTCTCCATCGAGACAGTCACTTTCAAGACATGTAGGTCTGGATGTCTCCATCGAGACATATTCATTATCTCATTTCATTAGGCCCGTCACTTATAATCAAAAGGACATTTAAATTATTTTCATGCTCATCCACTTTTCTTTAATGTCTTGGGTATATATATTTCATCATGTCGTGCATGTATGCTTATATCATGTTTGTATGTAATTCATATGCTCAATTATGACATTCATTGAAACAAATATCATACGTACAACTTTTATAGTGATACAGATGAAATTCTACTTACCTTAAACTTTAACACTGAAACTGTCTTTTAGGTACTGCTCTTAGGGGATCCGACACTTCGTATCACTAAAATATTGATCATCATTTTCATTTTTCCTTCTTGATCCCAAAATTTTTTTAAAAATTTTGACAACATTTCTCCTTATTTTTAACACTCACAAAAGCCAAAGGCCACCTATTTTAAATTTAATATCCCAAAATAAAATAAAATATGCTCATAATAACAATATCATCACACACACCAAACTATGTTCGGTAAAAAGGTCATAACACCCAAATTACACAGTATTTTAATGAGATATTTAAGGGACTATTCGATAACACCTAAGATAATATTCTCTCAAAATTTCAGCTCAAACGGAGCTGTTTAGCCTAGGGAAATAAACAAAAATCCGAGCCACTTGTAGAACCAACCTGTTTCAGGGCTGCCACCAAAACAAACGTGAAACCACCACCTCCCAATTGAATGTGATTAAATCCTTCTATGTGGATGTTCCTGACATATCAAATATTATGTTTTGCAAATATCTCAACAAAAATTCAAACAAAACCCACTGAACCAACACCAAACATCTTCCAAACCAAAACAGGCCCTTACCTTGACTAGGTTAGGTTTTTCTTGAAATTTGGCATCTAGAACTTGACAAACCACTAAGGAAATTCTTTTTTCTTAAGTTAATAGCTTGAGAAGGGGGTCTCTGTCAAAGAGGGGTCGGGCAAGCTGAACAAGTGCAGTGTAGAATGATCTAGTAGCTTATATTCCTTAAGCAACCAAAGAGGCAGCTTAGTCATCATGAAGGAATATCACCTTGGCTGGTCATGTGTCCCTTATTTCAGCTTGGTCACCTCCTTAATAGGGCATTACACACTCACACCAAATCCCATTTACATAATAAGTCATAACCACTCAATTGACATACCAACTTAGGTGTACTTGTTCATATCGAAAACTCGGTATGACTAAAATGATTCACTTTTGTTCGTGTCCGTTCATCATTGAAACTTAACCAATATTTATAAAATCCTTCCTAACATATTCAGGCATGAGATAATAAATTTTTCACTTACAAGCCAACAAAAGCCTCAATCAAGACTCAAAAACCCGAGCACCGAATTTTGAGCAAAATAGGGTTTTCTAGTGTGTTCTAGTTCAATAGTTCATGTGAAATTTCATGTCAACCTCTTGTAATTGGTTTCATACTCTTATGTTCTTATTGTAAGAAATTTCTTATCACATGTGAGTCCAACTAACAAACAAAATCCATACTTAACTTTTTTTTAAAACTT